GTGATTTGCTCAAGATCATCCAGTGTGTTTCTACAGTTGAGCAGGGGTCCAAACCCTGATATCCCAGTTCTCTGTCCAATATTCAACCATACCATAAATGTTCACTACTTTTGTCATTTGAAGTGAAGAAAAAAAGAGAGGAACCTCTGACTATATTGATGTTATTCTAAGAAACCTAGAATGATGCCAGTTAAAAACTGCTGAACAATCTCAAAAAATGTAGGTTCAAAGCTGAGCTCCACTGGGTGTTTGCGGGCCCAATAGCATATTTCAATTTAACTTATTTCAAAGGGTACTGCAAGGACAACACATCGTCTAAAGCTGGCCTGCACAACCCTTGCCCCCCCCCCCAGGTGTTTGGGACTCCAACTTCCAGAAGCCTTAGCCAGCTTGTTCATGGGCCTAGGTAAATTAAAAGGGCCGGATTGAGACTTGTGCAAAAACAGGGCATGGGGGAATGGGTAAGGTGAATTCCTCCAAGCATTCCTTTCCATTAGCTATGATGGCTAGAGCTACTGGTAGTTGTAGGTACTAATAGAGAAGAACATGAAGAATAAAAGTATTTAACATATATGATACATGAAACATTCAAATAACTACACATTTATTCATTCTATAAGAAGGAGAGTCACATTCACATAACCAAAAGCTCATTCATTCTGAGATTTGAGGGAAGAAATCACACTAAAATGATCATTCATGTTTTATTAATGCAGTACATTAATTGGTATGTATAAGCTTTATAATGCATCCTATCAAAATAATTATGGAAGAATCATTTTTTATCATAAAATTAATGGCACCCACATAAATCAAAATGAATCGGACAAAGTAACATTAACTGAAACACTCTTTTTAAGGACAACAAAGATACGTTGTATGAACACAACCCATATTGTGCTATGAAATAGATTACATTAACCAAACTATAGAAACATTTGGGAAATCCTAGGCAGATGTGCATTTTGGAATACAGGAAATGCCAAATCAAACAGCCTTGCTGTATGGTGAACCTTGTTGAAATTATCCTGAAGCTGCAGTCCCTTTTGCAGTTATCCAAGTACAAGTTATTTTGCACACATGCTGCTGTGGTTCAGCACCAGTTTGCTGTACAACATCAAGTGTGAGTCAATCTGGAACATTTCCTTAGTGTAGCAGCAGAGACCAATGCTATTGGGCACACCACCATAAGTTAACAAGAAGGGGACACTATGGTGGAAGGGGAGCCTTGAGGTGCACACTGCTCCTCAGGGCCTTCTGGTCACCAAGGACCTGCCTATACTAAAGGATCCCTGCGTGCCTGATATATTAGACTGGAACAGAAATTACATCTTGACGATGGCTTGCTCAACACAGACCACTGTTAAAGAGTTAAGCAAGGTGAAGCTCCACAATGCACCATTACTCTTATGTAGGGCTGAGATGTTTGGTTCACCGCTTATTATAGGGCAGGTGATTTCCCTTTTTCATATAAGCAGGCTCATGACAGCCTGTTGACCATTTGGCCATGCCATCAGCCACTGGTATCTGTGGGGAAAAGTCTAGGAACATCACCTCTTTCTTGGCCTAGGTTTCATTATTGCCATTACCAATAGAAGCCAATGGGAAGTTCTTTGTAAGAATGTAATGTATGACTGCTGACAAACAGTTTTGTCAAAAAATTAAGGCTGCAACTCTGGGCATGCTCAATTGGTGATGAGCCCCCAATGAATACAGGAGGCCTTACTTCCAAGTAACCATGCTGATGACAGAGCTTCGATCTTAAGATCCTTTTGAGTAAAAGTCAAGATGTCTGAAAAGCTTTCAAACCATTTTACAACTATGAAGATTGTAATACAACTCTATTAGAATCTTGGAATAATAAAATACATATTTTAAAAAATATATTTCAAGGAAAGAACATGAGTGTACAGTATTGAAAAGTTAACATCACCCCCATGTACTGGGATAGTCAAAAGGTGACGTGAGGGGTACCTGAAAGCTACAGCACCTGACATTTTCCCTTATCAAGTTTCGGTATAGTGCAGAGGTGGGCCTTTTATGCAATTTAGTCACAGACAGTGTCTACCTTGAATTGCAGAGCAGGTAGTTTGACTGTGTGAAAGCAGAGAGCTTAGCAAAACGAAGGGAGGAAAAGTTTAGAGAAAGGAAAATTTAAAAAGCAAGTTTTGGTCCAAAATATCTTGTAATAAGTGCTAAGCTAAAAGACACAAACAGTCCAATAGCACTGAGGCACTGGAGAAGAACTGAGAGAATTACCTATACATAGGGCAGCAAATCATTTGCTAATGTAGCAGATATGAGCATTATGGCTCTCACTACTATCATTGTGCTCATCCCCCAAAGTAAGGTTACTTTAGCCATATTATTTATTGTTTCTTTTACTCCTCTCCTTGCCAAATAACACACACAAGAACAACAACGACAAAAAATGGTAAAAATGTGGCCAACATCGTTCACTGTAGAGTTAACAATTTGATCAAGATGCAATAGTTCCATACAGGAGGTAGTAATATGTATGATTTGTATTTTGATGAAGGATAAGGGATTGATAAAAAATAATTTGAGTTAGAAACCAGTCTAACCCACAGGGTGGACACAAAGAAATTGAAATCTATATCCAATTAAAAACTAAAATAAACTAAGCATAGAATCCTAGCATAAGAGTTTTAGACCCCTAAAACATGTCTAGGAGATCAATCATACTCTAGAACAGTGCTTCTCAACCTTGGGTCCCCAGATGTTTTTGGCCTACAACTCCCAGAAATCCCAGCCAGTTTACCAGCTGTTAGGATTTCTGGGAATTGTAGGCCAAAAACATCTGGGGACCCCAGGTTGAGAACCACTGCTCTAGAAGGATATACTGTTAGCATGCCACTTTATCTTTTTATAAAGATAAAGCAATACACTATTATCAAAATGAAATGGCTTCTTTAAAAAATCCACTGATGTTGCTGCATAATCCTCATCTATTTCAATCTGCTTGTATCAATCTCCAAATGCAGATCAAGCAAATGGAGGCTGCACAGTAGGGCTCCTTGCTGGACTCCACTCTAACATTTGCAAACAGATTGATATGAACATGGAGCTTAAAGCCATCTGAGTGTTCCTCATTTCAGTGGGTGCTTTCACTCCACATGTGAAAAAAGGAGGCAAGTAGGTCTCTCCAATCAGCTGCCTAGGGAAGCCCCTGAATGATATGGATGCCTATTATAAACTGCTGAAATAGTACAATATGCAAGTTGTCCAATATTATTAATATTGTTATACATCCATCCACTCATTGATCCACATACCAACTCTACGAAATAACCCACATCTTTCCAAGCAAAATCCCTATTAAGATTTGGACAAGCATCCAACAATAATGCACACTGAGGTTATATTGAGAAGGCACACTTTGTTGACATCTTACTCGATTCCAATTTGGGACCAAGTTAGAATTAATTTAGCTTTTTTGACAATTAATAAATTGATGTGTTTTTTCTAGCCTATGCCTGTGCACTCATGTTTCAAAATCAGATGTTGTAAACTAGCACAGAGCAAATACATTATTAAAAATAATTCTGTAACTACGCATATTGATGTTTTTGCTTGCATACCCAGACTATATTCATTGTCTCAAGAAGCAACAAAAATCTATTATTCCATTTTCAGTTTTTGAGCTTCTATAAAATTCAGCATTTCAAGAATCTACATCAGGAAATCAATACCTCCACTTTGCCATTTACCTGGTTACATTTGTTCAAGAAGGAAGCACAACTATATAAATGACAAGCACCTGTTTTAATCTCAAAGCAAAGAGTATTTTTTACAGGAAGGGAAGAGGAAAAGATGATTTTCATTTTGCTTGCACTATGGTCCCAACCCAAAAAGAAATATGTTACACATTTCTTGTCACATCAGTTTTGAACTTAGTACTACAATGCAAACACCAATGGGGAAATGGAATTTGGAATCTATGTTTTGGGGGCCACAGTATGAGGGGAAATTTGCATTTTATATATAAACATTTAAAAATACATTTCTAATAGTTATTTATGACTATGTATTCTAAAATAAAGTTCTCAGTAATATATGAGCATATGTTCATAAAGGATTGGTTTTAAGTATATTATTAAACTGTGCAAAGTTGAGGACAGTTTTCCCTATAAGTTTTAAGGAGGCAAAAGGTATCTTTCCAGTTCTAGAGCTGAGTCTACATCAATCAAACTGTAAAATATTTTAAACCTCTTTTCTGAGGATATATCTTTCAAAATGTAGTCATATTGACTTCATGGAATAATTAACACAATCATGAAGTCTTTGCATATCAGTGCCACACCCAGCCCAAGTTTTAAAAGAGAGAGGGGGCAAAGATCTACTTGCTAAATTTCAGGGCTTTGCAAAAAAAAAAAGAAAAAAAAAGCAGTAATTGTAGCTGTAACTCATTCTCTCCTCACTAGTGTGTATATCTCAATCATTTTCGAAAATTGATCCTTTCCGCTGTGCATCAAAAGAACCAAAATAAAGGATCTAGCCATTACATTTCACAGCTTTTCTTATCATCTAACAGGCATCCTCAAACTGCGGCCCTCCAGCTATTAGGGCTTCCAACTCCCAGAAGCCCTAGCCAGTTTGTTCAAAGCTCTGGAATTCTGGGAGCTGAAGGCCAAAACAGCTGGAGGACTGCAGTTTGAGGATGCCCGGTCTATTAGCTGTGAATTGGTGCCAACAATTCCACTCAATTTCTTATAGCAACAGCTTCCTCCTTTGTTGGTTCTTACAGCTATTAGGCAACACAAGTAAAATGCAAGGAACCAGAGTTGAGATGCTGGAGAGACAGCATGAAGCGAATGCAATGCTACCTGGGCAGCTGAACAGCCCTTGACAGACAAATTGCTCTGCCCATAACACTACTGTTTCCAATAAGGGTGAATCTCACACATGATTCCTGGAGAAGGACTGCAATTACAGCTTTCTGAGATGTATTGTAACATAGTTTGACAAAGCCATCCACCTCAGGTTTGTATTTACACTTTAATAAAGGTATAAATTCAAGTCTCCATATCTGACTTCATATACTATAAAAGTTTAACAAGATACATATCAAATAAATTAAGAAAAATTAAAACCAATGTAGCATTTTATGTTGGCTAACAGAAGTTACAAAAACATGGTGAACAAAATGGCATAAAATATTATCAGAACATCAAAAAAATTAATAGGGATTAATATAACAAGTGTCCTACTTTCTTATACTGGTTGAGAGTGGCGCCTCTCATCCATCTTTTCAGACATTAAGTTACCTACACATGCCTATGCAAAAATAATCTCAGTTGAATTGAATGGGCATTACTTTGAGGTAAGTGTGTAGTCCTAGTCATTTGTTCACACAACTACATGCTTTTAAAAGTATTGCAGAAATTGAAGGGGACAGAGGATACAAAACATTTTAATAAGTTTGTCACTCAGCTTTCTTGTCTGTGTGGTTTATCACAGTATACTACACACTCCTTTATCAAGGGAGATTTCCATCAATTATATACAACATTAACTTTTCTGTGTGATTCCTTATCTAAAAAAACTTATGTGTTTAAAATCAGATTGACTGTAAATGCTAGTGTTATTTCTGACCCTATGCATGTAAGGCTTTCCCCCCAGGAAAACACCTGCGGAAAAAGTTTATCAAATTGGAATCAGCTAGTTTGCTTTTGAAAGGGAACTATACAATTCAGTATGCAATTTCAGAATCATTACAAGACTTGTTTTACACATTTTATCATTTTATAAACTGGACTAAGAATCAATGAGTTCGTACTCATTTGACATATTTATATTTCATTCATACACATTTACCACTTGTATTGTTAAAAAAAACTTAACTCTAAGAACCATAATGTTTGACGTAAATTATAGACAAATGTGCTTTGGTATCATAGTTCAAACCTGTCAGAACAAAATCATAGTAAGAACAGTGTGATTTATTCCCAGGTATGCATAGGACTGCAACCTTCGTCATTTAGCTATAGCAACTGGATAGTATCTGGACATTCCAGGAAATCAAGATTCTAGATTTGCAATATTGAAAAATACTGCCAATTTACATTATAATACCATATACTTCTACACCTGTTTCTATCTATAAGTAATATTCCTAATACATGTGTCCCAGATCTGCAGATATTTGTAAATTAAAAAGTTAATAAAAATAAAAAGCTCAACTCTCTATGGTACAGATCACACACACCAAATACAGAATGTTCCTGCAAGCAATTCCCTTGATTAAGTTAATTTAAACAGGGATAAACCATTAGTTAGAGGAAAGGCAATTCATTTATCTATTGTAGTGTGTTCCGTCACAATGCTTAGAAGAACTTAATAGGAAATAAATATAAAACTGGTGTATCTGCCAATTGAAAATATAAAAATTAAAATAGTTTTTTTCAGCCATGCATTCATTTCTAATAGCTGCTTTAACTTATGGAAATCTATCTACAACCTACCATGGAACTGTTAGAGCAAACTGCTCTCCCATGTCCACTTACATTAAGCTTTGAAGTCAACTCTTATCTCATTTTGCACAATTTAAAGAAATCTCAGCAACTTGTCAATGACTGTCTTAGCTATTATGAACAAAATGGTCCCAGTGAACTTCAAGAGTATTGACCAAAAAATTCAAGGATAAAGTGCGGTCTGCAAGAAACAGGAATACTCTTATAGGAAAGCCTATTGTTCAAGTTCTTATAACTCTTGCTATATATTCTCTTATTGCAGAACAGCACTCAAATGTAATTCTGACCCATGGATTGGACACATATTTAGTCATACTTAGAGTATGTCTATTTACATCAGTGGATCTAGAGTCTGTTCTGAGACAACTCCACTGACTGCAATGGCTCCACTAAGTATAGATCCAATCCTAAGCTAGAATGATTCTAAGTATCTAAATAATATTATATGTCCATTATGTGTCTTCATTCAGATTTATTTATCATTTGAAAGACATATAGCTGAGATCCGAAAAGCTCTATGGGCATACAGAAGTATTTGCCTGGCATACTGTTGCTTTTTATTATCAGAGGCAGTATGTGTTGCATTCAGCCTCATGTTACGAGTCTCCCTGCTTTAGAAGTTTATCAGCTGTCTTATTCTAGACAAGGGTAGGCAGTGAATTTCCAGATGTTCTTACTACACCTTCCAGCAGTCCTGCCCTTCACAGGCATTATTGGGAGAATATGTAGCCCAAAAGCATCTGGATAGCCACAGTTTCCCACCTGTTCTAGAAGGAATGGCTATTATGTGTGATTGACCTCACAGCTCCTTTGCTTAGGAGCAGAATTATTTGTACTCTTGTTCTCCTTCAAGTTATCTTGGAGCACAAAAAAGACTACACAAAATTACAGGCTTTCAGATTTTAGAGGCAACATGTAATACTGAAATATCATTGTTTTTATTCCTCCAACTAGCTACAAGTCTTAGCTTGCTGCTGCAATTCAATATGATACTACTGTGGAAAAAAAACTTTACAATGGATACAATTTATAGAGAATTAAAAATATTTATACATGAAAAACAACCAACGGTATAAAAATCGACACTGCTGAAATAAAGAGTTCATATACATATATATAAAATAAAATATCAATAGGGGAAATCAAGATTGTCCCTTTAACATAAAGGGGGCAGGGAAAAGGAGAAAGGCAAACAATATAAAACAAACTATGCTGTTAATTAACCTAAACCGGGCTAGCTTCCTTGATGGAAAGAGTGGCTGACCACTCAAATACTGGTTTGTGTTGTGGTTATCAGCACTTAAAATGCAGCAAACTCCATAGTATTACATTTTCATGAAATCTTTACCTACCACTAAAGCTAATGGAGATTCAAATAGCAAAATATAGTAAAAATGTGACAGACTAAAGGAAGACACTTTATAGTTTAATACAGCAAGATCCTTCGTTCAATAGCCTTCCGGCAGATGGGACACTCGCTCATTCTGTCACCACAAAGCTGACATGTTCCATGGCCGCAGAGAAAGATCATATTCTTCAGACGATCCAAACACACAGGGCACATGGTCTGTAAAATAATAATAAAGACATGGAGCACTGGAAGAAAATGATCAATTACAATAGTTCATTATCTTGTTAAATTCCATATAAATATGTTCTAAGAAAAAAATGTCAGGTTGGAGTATTGTTTAGAATAGCTTAACTTCTATTTGCTACAACGCTTTAGAACATCGTAAGCACTTCACACAGTATGTGCATCCATTATAGGAGGCAACACCTGACCTCCTAGGAAAGATGTAACTGTGTGTGTTGTTGTGTATGATGATTAATATTTTGAAAGGTCTGAGTAGCCACCAAAGTAGTTGAGAATGTAACCTTGTCCATACTGCAAGCAAACCTTTTGGATTCTGTCTGGAGAAAGGGAGAGGCGTCCTTTCTTGGTGTCTCTGAGGAATCTGGGGTGAATGAGTCACTAAGGTGGAAGAAAATGACTGTTTCTCTTCTTGACTGCAAAACCGTGTTGTTTTAGCACAACACAGATGAGGCGTTTTGAAGCGAGGTTGATTTCAGAGGGAGACAGTAGAAGTACTGCAGTCTCAACACTTCTTAAAGAGCTATCATACATTTTGGCAATATTCAGCCTGAAGGAAAGTGCTTTGAATTGAGAGTGAGTGCTGCAGTAACAGAAACAAAAATACTTTGAGAAAACATGCATGGGCACATGACAGTAAGGTTCTGAAAGGGCAACAGATAGAGGGAAATCCCATGGGAAGAGAAACGCCTAAATGGTATGGAAGCTTGCAATCCAGAGTTTTCTGTATTTTACTAGTTTATGTATCTGAGATGTGGAACTGGACAGACTCCATTCCTCTTTTTGGATATGCCAAAAAGGGTAGAATAATCTTTGAGAAATACCACTTCCAAAGTCTAAGAGGTGGGATATGACCTGCTGAATGCTTGGTCCTTTGTGTGAGATTTTGATGTTGGAAGCTGTAAAAAGTGGGAACTCAGGGGTATGGTAAAACAGTATGGAGTAGACTTTGCTTATAGTCCACAACACCCACAGTTCTGAAGCACAGGCTACCCGGGCACTGGTGAAAGTGAATAGCCTTATTTTTATCTGAAGGGCTGGGTAGTCACAAGGAGTTTTCATTTCTTGGTGGGGGACCTCCAGGTTGAGGAGGTCAGCTGGACTATCCCTTGTGAATGGTGTGAGAATGGGAGATCTTGCAGGCTAAAATCTTTAGGGCAGGAGAAAGGCAAAAGAGATTAAAGGACTGAAAAAGTTGCTGAAAATTTCATTTTGCTTCCTTCTTTTGAAGAGAAAGTTTCTCCTTAACTTAGGTTCCTATGAGGGTGTTTTTAAGAGCATCTTCCCCAAAAACCCACGAAGTACTAGTGCAGCAGATTGAGCCTAGATTTGCTCAAGATTGTATGTATGCATTTCAGTGCTTCTGCCAAACAGATCTACTTGCTATTATAGAGGGAGAGATGGAGCAAGATGAGAAATGAGTCTCTAGTAGTATTTGCTATGAAGGCTAAGGATTTATAGATTTTTAGAAGTGAAGGGACTTGCATTTAAATCTTAGTGAAAATATACTGAGCCCACAGCATAATCACTCTGGATATCAGGGAAGCCAGAGAAAAGGCCTCCCTGATGTCTTATGAGAGTGTTTAGGAGTTGAAGGTGGCCTCTTCTCATTTGGAACTTTAAGGGAAGAATCTCCTTGTTTCTCATATGGGAAAATGTGTGATTATTCATAGACAATATCCAAGTCATACACGGATTTGTAGGTTAAAGCTAACAATTCAAGGTGTGTCTGAAAACAGGCTGGCAGCCAGTAAAATTCTGGTACCAAGTCATATGCTTCCTGTAGCCTGCCTTAGTAAACAGTGTCAGCATTTTGAGCCAGTTGAAGTTTCTAAAAAAATTATATTTGAAGATTTCACTATCAATAAGTGTTTTGACACCACAATAAATACAGTAAATAGTTAAGAAAAACATATTTGTTTTATTGCTCATTTACATTTGTTTAATGCAAGCAAGATTTTCTCTTAAGAGATGTAGCCCAGCTCTTGTTCTTCTGAAATGTAGTCTATATTCATGATTTTTATGTGAAAACAGATATAAAGATAACATTGTACGCTGAATCTTTCTCCATGCTTTAACCACATAATTTCAAATTTATTGTACAATCTTAAGTAAAATAACCCTTTAAGGTATTCTACAGCTGATGACAAAAATGCAGTGGAAAATACACCTATTTTTAATACATATAAAACTTATTTTGAGAATGTTCATACAATGGCTTCAGAATTCCTTTGGTATTTATCTCAGAAGTGTATTTGTTTTACCTGTTCTTTTATGTCCTGCAATTGCTGCTGCAATTTCTGTACATCAGCATTGACATTGGTATTGTCCTTGTCTTTCTGCAGAACAGGGATGTTTCCACTTGCTACACAATGCAGAGAAAAATGATGACATGAAATGGTTGCAGGGAAGAAAAACAACAACAAAATGAAACATACATACAAAGTTCTTTCTAGCTATCAAATGCATAACCATGTCACAATTACAGTTTTAAAGTCTGCTTGAAAACCCTACAAAATCTTATCAAATATGATGTGTTTTATAAGGATACTCCAGCCATGGATACATTCCCAGATAATAGTGAATCCTACTGAAAAGTGTTTATAATTTTGTACTCTTCGACCTCTAATATCTGAACAATGAACTACAGCATTTTCTAGGATTCTACAGCCACATTTAGAAGCAGTTCAAGATGCCAGGCAAGAACATTCTTCTAGAAAACTGCGAATAGTATTTTAACCTTTCCAACATTAAATGCTCTAACTATACTCTCACAGAACCTGACTGCCCACTACAAAACAAACACATCTCTAGTTTTCCCCTTAAGACATGGAGACAAATCCCTGATAATTGCATAATTTGGGGAACTGGTGTGGGACCATTCCAGCAGTGGTTCCTAGCAGTGATGTAGGACCATTCCAGCTGTGGTTCCTAGCTCTGTTATACTTTGAGATGCCCCTAGAGTACTACTCTTTCCCAGATCATGAAGTACAGTAGAGTCTCAGTTATCCAACATAAACAAACTGGCAGAAAGTTGGATAAGCAAAAATGTTAGATAATAAGGAGAGATTAAGGAAAAGCCTATTAAACATCAAATTATATTATGCTTTTACTAATTAAGCACCAAAACACCATGTTTTACAACAAATGGACAGAAAAAGCAGTTCAGTACACGGTAACGCTATGTAGTCATTACTGTATTTATAAATCTAGCACCAAAACATCACAATGTATTGAAACAGTTGTGGATCTAGGCAGGAGAAAGACTCTGTTGGATAATACAGAATGTTGGATGAATGAAGGTTGGATAAGCGAGACTCTACTATACTAGGAAGAAATATAGTAATCTCTACACCTTCTCCAGTATGAAGTGAACTATAAGGTCATTGGAAAATTGGAGTAGCAGAGAAAAGAAAAGGGTTTAGATGGGGAAATGTCATGAGTCATAGGCAAGGCAGAGCTAAACAAAAGAAAAAACTCACAGATATCATCTGTAGCATCTTCTTGACCTTTCCCACCACAGCACATAATAAAAGGCACTCTTCGCTCTACCACTGCCCGACACTGCACACATTTTTTCATTAGGCTGGCACAATCTGCAAGAAAGATGTAAGATATCATAACTGCTGCTATGGTTTAAACCAGACGTGTCAAATCTGTGATCCTCCAACTTGTTTGGCCCTCCAACTTCCAGAAGCCCTAGCTAGCTTGTCCAATGGTCAGGAATTCCGGAAGCTGAAGTCCAAAACATCTGGAGACACAAAAATTTGACATCAGAGGCTTAAACAAATTTAATCTCTTTAATAAAATTTCACTTTAAGAAAGGAAAACAATAGGTCTTAAAAATACATCATATTCCTTGCATATGGTCTCCATCAGTGGATTCTGATCCATCAGAATCAGAAACAAGACCCATACACAACCGAGATCCTCCAATTTCCAAACTGAAGAGGAATTTAACATATGAATTTGACATATGAATTTAACATATGACATATGAACATATGACATATGAATTTAACATATGACATATGAATTTAAACAAGCAATACCCAGACTTTTTTCTTACAAATAATATTCATAAAGTCAGTCAAATTAAATAAATAATTTCAAACCCATGAAATAACTGTAACCCACCAAAAGCACTTACTTTCACAAGCACACATGTGTCCACAAGGCTGGAACAATACTGCAGCTTTTTTGTCTGAGCACACCACACATTCTTCAATCTACAAAGATATAATGATCACCCTTCAACTTTTCATAAATTAATATATAGTTCCTCAATCACAGTTCAATTAGGATAAACCTTTTTCAGGGTAAACTGACAAACAATGAATAAAGATAAAAATTATGAAGCAAATTCTTCTGGCAAATTCTTCCCTAGCTGTTATCTCTGACTTGCAATCAGAAAAAAATCCAAAGTATTTAAATATGCTGCATGTAACTGAGCTCTGCATTCCAGAGCAAGGGGTTATTGCATGGAACTGAGTGTAACTCTTAATTTCATCAGAGATTAATCCTGAGATGTGTTAAAATCTGAAATAATTACATCTGGTTCTCCCTACTTTGCTGTGACTTCATCGACTTTGTCTTTGACCAGTTACAAACTGCTTATGAGGATAAAGTGGAAAGAAGGAAATTTGTGAATGCTGCTTTGATCTCCTTTGAAGAAATGTGGGGTATAAATGTAAACAAGAGGAGGAGGAGGAGGAAGAGCAGAAGAAACCCTAATGAGGATTAACATAAAATCCATTCAAGATGGAGCAATTGTATTTTTTCTGCAAAGGATCAGTATATTACAAAGATACTGATTTAATTTCTACCTTTAAGTAAGCCACAAACGAAGAATTGCAAAATCATATCTTTGGAATGGACTTTGCAAGCATTTTTGTTCAATCCTAAAAAAATATTATCTGGATTACGCTTATACTATTTTCCCTCTGTACTAAAAAAGAAGAAGAAGTGGTAATTAGGATTTAAATGCAGCAAAGGTTTGGTAGATATCTTGTTCAAACGGATTAAACAATAAAGAAATATGATTTTACAGACTGTTAATTACAGTATGATCCCTGTATCTGTGGGGATTACATTCCTGGACTTTGTAAAAATATGAAAAACTGTAGATAATAGGGAACCCTATTGAAATGATGGATTTCTGGTCCAAGAATACCATACGAGTGGCATGGTAGGACCTAGAAAATGCCTAGAGAGGACACAGAGGTGGCTCTCTGTATCCATGGATTCCACCAACCACAGCTTGAAAATATTCACCAAAGACCAAAAAAGGAAACCTTAATATTTTAAGAAACAGATAAGAGGCAGAATCAGAACATCAAATCAAATCATCAATAAAGAAGGGGAGCCGGGAGGACATTGCCATCTTGTCCCCTGTGACATCAGCGGCCCTCCCCCAACACCAACGGCCACTCTGGGGCCAGAATAAAGAAGGGGAGCCAGGAGGACATTGCCATCTTGTCCCCTGTGACATCAGCGCCCCTCCCCCAACACCAACGGCCACTCTGGGGCCAGAATAAAGAAGGGGAGCCGGGAGGACATTGCCATCTTGTCCCCTGTGACATCAGCGCCCCTCCCCCAACACCAACGGCCACTCTGGGGCCAGAATAAAGAAGGGGAGCCAGGAGGACATTGCCATCTTGTCCCCTGTGACATCAGCGCCCCTCCCCCAACACCAACGGCCACTCTGGGGCCAGAATAAAGAAGGGGAGCCAGGAGGACATTGCCATCTTGTCCCCTGTGACATCAGCGCCCCTCCCCCAACACCAACGGCCACTCTGGGGCCAGAATAAAGAAGGGGAGCCGGGAGGACATTGCCATCTTGTCCCCTGTGACATCAGCGCCCCTCCCCCAACACCAACGGCCACTCTGGGGCCAGAATAAAGAAGGGGAGCCAGGAGGACATTGCCATCTTGTCCCCTGTGACATCAGCGCCCCTCCCCCAACACCAACGGCCACTCTGGGGCCAGAATAAAGAAGGGGAGCCGGGAGGACATTGCCATCTTGTCCCCTGTGACATCAGCGCCCCTCCCCCAACACCAACGGCCACTCTGGGGCCAGAATAAAGAAGGGGAGCCAGGAGGACATTGCCATCTTGTCCCCTGTGACATCAGCGCCCCTCCCCCAACACCAACGGCCACTCTGGGGCCAGAATTGTTTTTATACTATGTCTTGAATTTTGTTCTTCCTATGTTGTACACCGCTGTGAGTCACCCCTGGGCTGAGAACAGCGGTATATAAGCAAAGTAAATAAATAAATAAATAAATAAATAAATAAATAAATAATCTGCTTATGTTTAGAGGTGTGGAAGGTGCGGCCCCACAGTCCACCTCAATTTTTTCATCTTTTGTCCACTCAACATATGCACTGTGTCCCCTTGGGCGGTTGCAGCTCCAGGAGGATCTTTTGGAAAACCAAAAGTGATTCCCAATTCACTTCTTTGTTTTAGACTTTTGGTACAAGGCTTCACCAAAGTTTAAAACAAACAAAAATGGAAGCACAATAATACTCATATACTTGAGAAGGCACAAGAGACAACAAGGGAAAGATGAATCTTCAGTTTAACTGAAAAGGAATATTGAGCACTTGCCGAGGAATGTTGGTGTAAGGAAAACCCATAGGTTGGTACATTTCTCCTCTATATAATCCAAAAGATTAATGACTGAATGAATACTAGAGGGGAAGCACATGGTGATAGGCAACCTTCAGAAATCTAGTGACAGGTATGTGCAGACCCTGGACAGTTGCTCTGCTGATGCTATATGGAGCATCATTTATGACTATGCTAACCAAAATGATGGCAGTGTTGATCTTTGGTAAGCAGGCAGGCAGGGAGGGAGGAAGAAATGTAGCCCATGGACACACATATTGGGGGAGGGGGGGCTTCCCTAGATCAGACATCCTGAGATGAACTGATTTAAGAGATTGCATATGGAAATGAATTCCAAATATAAGCATACAAACCTTTGTTCTTGACTGAACTTGCTCTTTGCAGATGAGGCATTTCTTGACTCTTGGTGAACAGAGCGAACAGGTAGCAATATGCCCGCATGGGCCAAATAAAGTATCTCTCTTCATATCGGAACATACCATACATTCTTCTAAAGTTTCTGAATCATTGCTGATCATTGAAGGACTTCGGGAGCCAACCTGGCCACTAAAAACAAACATCCATCCAGGCATTAAATTATAATATATATTTCAAATACATAGAAAATGCTATTTATAACCTCACTCTGCAATATAAAAGTTCATTCTGTTGCGTGAACATTAATTCATTTGTATTGCAAAGTCATAGAAATAACCAAACAGTCCTTCACAGTCAACTAACAGAAAGCCCTTGACAAGTGGGAAGCTATGGCTACTATCCTATCAAACCATTACAGAGCCTTAACAGAACTTAATATTGGACGAGTGCAAGAAAAACAAAAGCAGACAGTATTCTTTGAAAATCAAAACTCTGCCGTCAAGTTTCCAGTCTCAATTCAAGGTGCAGATTATCACCTATAAATGCCTAAACGGTTCGGGACCTGCCTATCTTCGAGACCGCATCTCCCCTTACGAATCCACACAATCTCTAAGGTATCATCTAGGGAGGCTCTTCTCTGGCTTCCACCTCTGTCACAGGCATGGTTGGTAGGGACAAGAGAAGGAGCCTTCTCAGTCATGGCCCCCCAGCTCTGGAACTCCCTCCACAGGAATATTAGGCTAGCACTCTCCCTATCCACTTTTCGCAAAGATCTAAAGACGTGAATGTTCCGCTGTTCTTTTCATTAGACAATTCCTTAGATAGCTGGCCCCAGCTAGGACCCAAAACCTCGTCCCCGCACTTTACTATTGGCACAATCTTTCTGCAGGAATTCTATATTTACTATTGCTTGTACCCAAAACTATAATGACCTACTTTCCACTCTTCTCTATCTTACTACTGCCATATGGCCTATGTACTTTATTCACTACCCTATCCTCTACAATTTTTTTGCACCAGTTTGCCCACCCATCAGAGAAATTCATTTTATTGTTTACTGTTGTTGGTTTTGATGCTTGATTTTATATATGATTATAATGTTGTTGGTTTTTATTATGCTTTATATTGCTGTTTTGTATTTCAGAGTGTTATATTTTAACTGTGTTTTTCGGGCTTAGCCCCATGTAAGTCGCCCCGAGTCCCTTTGAGGAGATGGAGACAGGGTACAAAAATAAAGTTGTTGTTGTTGTTATTATTATTATTATTATTATTAGCGTTGACATTTAGTAAAAAGTCAGAATAGATACCAGAACAAAAGCTTCATTAATAATACATAAAAGACCACATAATATGCAAGTTTTCAAAGACAAATGTATCAGTCTACTTCAGCATAGAAAGGAAAAAGTGGGGAAAGAGACACTGGGAATAAGGCAACATTTGTAAGACTGATTTATTTTAGCATAATTTTTTGAATGTCAATCTACATCTTTGGATGAATCAATGAACTCTGTATGAAAGCTACAGGTATATTAGCAGCTATGTGGATGTGGGGATGTAGATCAGAATACTACAGGATATCAAAATACGCAAACTGAAACTGCTCATAAAACTTTGAAGAGCAGAGCACGATGACAAAAACTGGTCAACAAGCCGGGCTTTTAAGTTTGAGTTGTTAAAGCAATATCTTGTTGTTACTGAAAGTAAAACAATTCTTTGGCTACATGTGAAGTTGCATGGGCCTGTATGTTAAAAATGTACTGTGACAAGAAATCATTATCTCTGTTCATGCTAATAGATAGAAATTTGTTAATATATCCCAATTTAGCAGTTTTTCTTTCTAATCTTCTTTTATTCTTTTTTTTTCCAGAATACCTACTTGAAAGTCACTGATTCTATCTACCAGAAGATGAAAGTGTGTCCTACCACTGGTTTTGGAGTGTTGTCATGTTTAATAGCAAATTTTCATTTTTTCTTTTGTGTAGAAACTATCCTGTTTGTCCAATGTAGAGTGCATAAGGGTATGGCTGTCAAGAGGATGGCATATAAATGCACCTATTGGGACCATTCATCTTAACCCAGCATAGCATTCATCCTATACTGCCCAATCTTCTAGATGATCAAAAGTTTGAATTCACTAAAGCACTTCTTTCTGTTGCTGTTTAACTAGCCCTAAAAAGGTATTATAGCATATTCTTTCCCAATCAATTAACATGACTATAAAGATTTCTGAATGCTATTTACTCAAGACAGCTAAAGTCATGCCATAAAAACTGTCAAAACTTAGGAATGAATGAATATATATATATATATATATATATATATATATATATATATATATATATATTCCGCTCTATCACCGCTCTATCACCCTGAAGGGACTCAGGATGTATTCCAAACATAAAAAGCAAACATTCAATGCCCAAATACAACAATACATCCATACTAACAAAATTTAAACAACCCAACATATAAACATGCATTATAACTTAGTGACCCAATGTGGCAACAATGAATGACAAAGGTTTCATACATTTAAAAAAAGTGAAGCAAGAGGACCAACATTTGTTTTAGCTCATGTTAAACTAAATGGTAAACACTGTTCACTTTATTTTAATAAGATGGGGGGGGGGGGGAATAACATGAATGCGTGTTTTGTTACAATACTAACCTCGCTTTCTCTTTGTGACACTTAGCCAATGCTTTACAGAGGCTAGGGTCAGGGCACAGGTCAAGCGGTGACTGACCCTTCTTATTACGAATACCGAGATCAGCTCCATTGGCTGCCAGGAAGCAGGCGATAGATGCTGCACTCTTCTTCTCTGCTCCCTGAGTACCCAGTCCCATTATCAGCTGAAAGAGAGTAATTATGCAACCTCTTGAATTTTTCTTGATGAACTCAAGAAATAATGTCTTCAAGAACCAACGAAACAGATCATATATAACTGAACAGATAGAAATGTTGTAAATAGATCATAGCAAATACTACTGAAAAAGATGATGCCGTTAATTCCTTTCATTCAAAGAATAAATAAAACAGGGCAAACCATTATTTCTCTTTGGAGTACATGACTCATCATGCTGAAAGTCGTTTTGGAGTACATGACTCACCATGCTGAAAGTCGCATGCGCTGTCCCCATATACCAACACTTCATGGATAACTTTCATCAAGCAATAATTCTGGAATTACTCCTATTTGAAAGTTCAGCAGCATCCTAAATCTAACTTTATTTCCTGTTACTACTAGCCCAGTCATACTGCAAATGTTCTTTGCAATTATTTTTTCCAATTATTCTACCTGTAACTAAATAATAAAACAAAGCAATGTCATCTAAGGTAAATAAAACTATCCACAGAAAATAAGTACTTCTGTGCCTCTTCCTCAAGAATATGTGAGTATATATGCACAGTTTACTGGTTTGTAGTCATTGGCCGGTTACCATTTTATCTGTTTAATTCATGTTTTCATGCCATTGTGTTCATTTAGAAGGCATGAAACGGTACACCCCCTCCAGTACAAAAATATCAGTGAAATGAAAGGAAAGTGGGAATGGTAACCATTAGGTCAGCTGATTTTTTGGCGCTCGGCTGTAGGCCTTGGCAGGTGCAGGCGTTGACCCCGCTCACCAAACACACTCTCTTTCCAAGGAGAGAGAGTGTGTGGCAAGCAGGTCCAAAGTGCCACAGCCTGCCAGGGCCTGCAGCCAAGAACTGAGCACTAACCCTAAAACTGGGGGGAAGGGGAGCATGGGAAGCATGCCCACTGCTGCCACTGGGCCTATTTTTTTTTTACCTTAGTCAAAAAAAGCTCATTCAGAAAGGTGCCCATTTTCGGGAGAGACACTTGAAACCTAAAACAGGGCCTTACAAATGAAACTAACAGAAACAGATTGTGATTCTATACCAATGCACAGGACTACTGGTTTGTACAGTTTCACAGAAAGCATTATATGAAAACACTACTAGCTATGCAAATTATAAGTGTTGTAGCTGCTCTTTGTTCTGTACTACTTTTGTGATACTTTTGTGTACATTTTGACACTTTTAATATACATTTTAAACGTATGTATGACCATTAACAATATCAATTACAAGTGAAACATTTGGGCCTTTTAAAGATTTTGTTAAATTGTATATCCCTGTTAGTAATCAAAAGGCATTTATGCTGGATAAGTATATCTTTTTAACTTTAAATTTCAGAAAATAGAAAGCAATTCAGAATGAAACATTGCAAAATGGACAAACATTAGAAAACAAATAAGTAAATTTAATCTATTTACCGTGTTCTTTGATGGCTCCCAAGCTGTATCGACTTTTCCCACATCTTGCATATCTTGGAGCTGGCGAAGTTGTGACAAAGTGTGATGTCTGAGAGCTTCATGCAGGGGAGTATCCCCATCTTTATCCTGAATATCCAGTTTAGCACCTGCACGGACCAAGAGCTGAGGAGAAATAAATATTCCAACAGTTTTAATATTTCCTTTTTTGCATAAGTCATAATTAAGTTACAACCAAACTTTAAAACTGAAAAACAGCACAAAGCTTTGCAAGACAGGACCACTATATGACTGCACTTATTTTCATCTTAGAAGTTGTACAAGCTTTTTCACCTTGAACTTGAACCATTTAAATATATTAATTATCAAGATTATATTGACGGGTTCTAACGGCAGCTGCCTCAACTCTATGAAACTGTTTAAATACATGCAAAAGTTTCACACATGACTGATTTCGCTCTGATCTGTCACAATGTTTAAAACACGATGTAGATAAGTGAGCCATATGCTAAGTAGTAAATTGTATAAAGACAGCTAAAGGCCTATTCTGTACTGCCATATAATCCAAATTATCAAATCAGATAATCCACATTGTCTGCTTTGAACTGGATTATCTGAGTCTACACTGCCATATAATCTAGTTCAAAGCAGATAATTTGGATTTTATATGGCACTGTAGAAGGGAGCAAAGATGCAAAGGAAATGTTTTATCTTTCAGTATTGCAGTGCAGATAGTGTCTATTCAAAGTTTTAGCCATTTTAAGTTTGGACTCACCAAACTCTCTTTCCAGCTCTCTGTAAAGAAAGTTTTCAGTATTCACTGAATATCCTCAAACTTTGCTGGGCTGATTGCTCCTTCTAGATTTTGATTGAGTGTAGCAGCCATACTTGTGCCATATCGACTCCCCCCCCCCCCTTTCAGAATACTGAATATCTCAACTGATTATATACATAGCTCACAGTCCTCTAGGGGACATTGAAAACTAGCTTCTCACTATGCATCAGAAAGCCCATCCAGACAAAAATCAAGCTGGGTACATAATATCATTTGAGAACACAGAAATTCTGGACCACTCTGACAACCAGTATGACACACTACACAAAAAAGCCATAAAAATTCACAAGCACATGGACAATTTCAACAGAAAGGAAGAAACCATAAACATGAACAAAATTTGGCTACCAGTACTGAAAAATACTAGAATCAAGACAATGACTAATGAACACCACCCAGACACAGGAGGGCTCCAGGCAATAAACAATACAAATGGAACAAAGGCCAGGCTACTTCTATGCAGATGCCCTCACTAACTGACTATGCTATTTTCATGACTACTCACATACAGTTGAGTAGATCCCACTCAACACATACAAATCTAGTTTGCTAACTGCACCCTTTACACTTGTTCAACAGACAGTGGTTCTTTTCTCCCACCCTAGACAGTCCACAGGTATATACACACTCCATTTGTTTTACTACCATCAGATCCTCAGAAGTTGCCAGCTACAGATGCAGGTGAAATGTCAGGAGAAAATGCTGCTAGAACACAGCCATATGGCCTGGAAACTACACAACACCCCAAATAGCTGGTTCTCTCTAATCTTTTGTTAACTATATCTTTCTTCCTCTTTTATTGCTCCCACTAATAATTCTTTCTTCCGCATTCTTTGCATACTTTCCCAAAGAACCAGCATTTTGTAATCTCCAGTCTGTACCCTATCCAGTAACTTCACAGAACAATTCCCTTTTAATGTTACTATACTACTGCAAATGATATGGTTGCTACAGATCTACAGATTATTACTCTCCCCTGCCCCACTGTGCATCAGAGAACTGACCAAGGTATGAAACAGATGGGCTTTCATTCTTAATAGTACATCATACTACATGCAATATATATATTAGGATGATTAATGAACAGACTGTAATGGTTCATTAATAAACAAAACATTTTTGCTTCTGCCTTTCTTAACTGTTTAAAACAAAATTAACACAACTATTTTTATTCATTAATCATTTAAATAATAATTAATAATTAACTATCATTTGGTCATCTAGATCAGAGCTGTGAGAAGTGCTGCATGCTTTTTGCATTTGCTTTAAAATCACATACACATATACACCTAGATGAAGAGAATATATTGAACACATTTTAAGCATGATATTGGGTAAAAGACTGTGCCTATTTCTTTAAAAGGCCATAATATACAATGGCATGCTTTTGGAAATGAAGGAAAAATGTTTTTATTTAATGATCCATTCAGGAATATGCTACAAACTAAAATCGAAAACGAGCATCTTCTATATTATAGGCATCTTACCCGCACTATTTGGGTATGCTGCCGTTCAACAGCAAGGTGCAGCGCAGTCTGTTGGTTTACATTCTGAATATCCAGATTAGCATTTCCCTGAGAGAGAGACCATTATTATTACTGTTGTCTTCATCATCATTATCATTATTGCAAAAGCAAGCTATATAACACTGTGTCCATGGGGGAAAGGTAGCAGACACAAACAAAGAAGAGATCAATTTGTCTATGTTTCTCCAAACTATCTGAAAGCAGTTTAATTTAATTTACTGAACTAAACTAACACAATCAAAAAATTTACAACTGCATATTTTACATTGCAGTGGGCAATCATGCAATGCCTGAATGCTACCAAACTTCAATTCCTAAAAAATTCAATTTTTAAAAACTCAGAAACAGGATTAAGACCTAAATCCAACTATCATTTGGAAATAAAACAGAACTATCAATGAAATAGGATCTTGCTAAGTCAACATGTAAATATGTTCCACTGATTTAATGTGTCTACTGAATTTGGAAATAGTAATGGCATTTAGACCTCTGTCTACCTTGACAATTAAAAAAATTGTTTGCAAAACTAGTCAACAGAGCAGCTCAAAAGGAGTGACTGAGGATGTGTGCTTGTAACAAATTTTTATTTGTTTTACAATTTCAGTCATGTGATAATGGATGTAACCGTTGAAATCATTTTATAATTATATAAGGAAGGTTTCTAATTCTAAATCAGCGCTAGTGTTAATTATGCTAATATGATGCACAAAATTAAAATCTATCATCTCAGAATTGCTGGGTACACAAAGCAAAGAAAATTCAGAATTCAAATCTTAACAAACCAAATAATATACACTAATCTCTTTGCAGTCTTTAACTAAACAAACCAGGGAGTATGAAAGGAGAAAGACACACCACAGACTTCTTTAAAGCGTGACTGCAAAACTAGATAAAAGTGGTTCCCAAACTTTAGTCCTCAAGGTGTTTTGGACTTCTATTCCCAGAAAAGCAGTCTTGACAGAAGGGGAGCAGTTTTGTTCCCCCCTGGGGAACAAAAGTTTGGGAAACCACTGTGCTAGATATACTAAATAAATACAGCTGTTTGTGTTCATATGGCTAGTGAAAACAGTTTAGAACAACAAATAGACAACTAATAATTGTTTACATGTGAAAACATCAGCAAGAACTTTTTACCTGATGCACCAAGAGTTCTGCTACTTCTACATGATTATTAAGTGCTGCCAAATGTAAGGCAGTATAGCCATCATCTTTTTTCTCATCCACAATCCATGGTCTTGGGAGCTTGGAAAGTAACACTCGCATCGCACTGAAAAACATAATATGTTGTGTTACTGTCTCATATTATTCTGCAACAGTCAAAACCAAATAGCCAAGTACAAAACACCAAGCTCACAGATTTTAGGGTATCCAAAAATCGTTTTTTCATATTTATGATGGTAGAAACAGTCCCAAACTTACTTTAAACCAAACATGCCAAATTGATTTATTAACTTTCATCATTTTAACTTTATAAGAATTGCCTAAAAAGAGCCACAATTCACTGCCGAAATTAACAAGCCAGGGCCAGTTTTCAGAAATTCTCTACATATAATTTGCTAATCAAACTACTGTTGTAGTGTCTTTTCATGTGGTACTTTTAGTGCTAGAAATTTTTTTTAACAATCACTATTAAGTATAAATTTTAAAGTACACGTGCAGCAACATTATTTTGGATTATTACATCATGATTTCAAAAAGTGTTTCTAATTTAAATATGGTTCTCACTTTCAATTTCTAATTCTCTTCATTCTGTCTTGTCCATAATATCATGACTTCATGTTCAGGAATGACGTTCATGCAGTATATGTACCACCTGGTGTACTTCAATCTGCTAGACTGACATTGCATACCTGCTTCCTATATACTGTATGTGAAGGGAATATTGTACAGGGTTCAATGGCAAAAACATGGAGATATTTAACTGGAAAAATATATCAACATTCTCAGTTTTCTCCAGTTAAAACAAATCTAAAGTGGTCACAGCGCTTTTAAACGGCAACTTTCCCTGCTTCCTTGCCCTCTTCAAGATCTTGCCATGTAGTCCAATGCTTTGGTTATAACACAAGATACTATTTGAGTTTAACAGCAGCAAGGGCTGGGGGTGGTTTGCATTAATTAAATTACTTGATTAAATACACTTATACTACGGCATGCTTTCCCAAGGCACTTTATAGATGATAAAAAATATGAAAGGAAGAGGAAAAGAGATATCCAAAAACATTCAGAAATTAATCAAATTCACTAAAAGAATACTTTACAATATTTAACAGGAGGTTCAACCAAATTTTCTTCACCCTCTCTCATGAACAATAACCTGCATATGGGAATCCCTTGCTATCTATATATATAAATGCTCTATGCATAATGAGTACCTTAAAAACAAAAGAACCAATGAACGAAATCACATCAAATTTGGCAACATAACGTCTCACAACACAAGGAGTGACCATCACTCAAAAAATTATGATTTTGTCATTTGGGAGTTGTAGTTGCTGGAATTTATAGTTCACCTACAATCAAAGAGCATTCTGAACTCCACCAATGATGGATTGAACCAAAAGTGGCACACAGGACTCCCATGACCAACAGAAAATACTGGAAGGGTTTGGTGGGCACTGACCTTGAGTGTGGGAGTTGTAGTTCACCTACATCCAGAGAGCACTGTGGACTTAAACAATGATGGATCTGGACCAAACTTGGTACAAGCACTCTATATGCCCAAATATGAACACAGATGGAGTTTGGGGGAAATAGACCTTGACATTTGGGAGTTGTAGTTACTCGGATTTATAGTTTACCTACAATCAAAGAGTGTTCTGAACCCCATCAATGACAGAATTGGGCCAAACTTCCCACACAGAACCCCCATGACCAACAGAAAATACTTAAGGCCATCCAGTCCAACTCCCTTCACCAGGGCAAGAAAACGTAATCAAAGCCCTCCTGACAAAGAGCCTTCCAGCCATAGATATAGATTGATATATGATTCACACAGATATAGTATCATAGATTTGAAAGGGACCCTTAAAGAAGGACAATGACATGTTGCATGTTCCAGGGTGGACAAACCAGACACTCTCCACATCAATACTGACAAAGAAACAGTAAGAAATACTGTTTACCCAGAAGCATAAAGTAATTACATATATTAGAAACCAACACTTTCTCATTACTTTATTTTCCAGATCAACAGACTGGGCCACAGTAACGCGTGGCAGGGGACAGCTAGTTATTAATAATTTATTTATACCCCGTTTTCTCTCCCCGGAAGGGAACTCAAAATGGCTTAACATAAAAGCATCAGCATAACCATTTAAAATATACAAATGCACAAACATTAAAACAGGATTCAATATAAAAATACCAATTAAAAATCATTAATGCAAATTGAAAGTTAAAACCCACAGCACCCCCTGAATTGATCTTGTTACTGACCACACACTTCCTCCAGTCATCAGGTATCCCAGAAACAGAGAGGTGTGATCCTAAGAAGACTTTAATCTGATGGGAATTCAACTGTAATTTATGGCTTTTTCTTTAAGTTGAAATTTAAAAATCTCAGCTATCCAGAAAGTTCACAGAAAGTCACAGAACCATGTATGTGATGCACAGACTACAATGAATAAAATGCTTTTATATAATAGCTTTTTAAATACCAAGCTTACTATTTGTAAAGTACACAGAAAAATTAGTAAAAAATACACAGCATACTGTCCTTCAGTTGCAGAAGGGTCTGATATAAAATGCAGAATATAGGTTTCTTTCGTCCTAATTACTAACAGAATTAGCTGTGATTCCCCACTGCAGTCTGGATCTATTTTTAGTATTTCTAAAACCAAAATAATGTCTAGCAGAAGTGATTTTAGAGGTTGTTATCTTCTCCTTACTTTGATCTTAGTGTCTCCAAGAACAATGACAGATACTTGCAGTATCTGAGATTTCACTAGTCTTCTGAATTTTAGGAGGGGGGAGGGTTAGAAAAATTGAAACACAAGACTTCACTTTATTTGACTGCTAAAAACAAACCAGCGCAAATAGCAGAACACTTTTGGGACTGCAGGATTAGAAATCAATATGCAGAGAGAAAGATAGAGCCACCCTCTGCACTTGAACAGCAACTAAGAACCGAGAGACTATTTTTTGCAATGGTTGACTAAATATGGTCAGGGAAGAGAAAGAGAGAGGCGAGAGAGCCTGGGAGTGGAGCTCCAAACTGCTTAGCAGCCTATAAAGCTGAAACCGGTTTGCTTGTGTTCTGAGTGGCAAATGGATCCAGCAGAAGGAATATGCATGTATGAGACCTGACTTGAACAACAGTTTGACCTCTGAAGAGAGAAGACAGACAATGGATGTCTGGAAACAGGAAGAATATACAACTTCGAAGGAGAAAGAAGGAATACTTGCTGGGTGGGGGTGGGGGAAGGGGGGGGAAGCATGCTGAATTTCTAAGGTCTTGTGAACTTTTTAAAAGGTCATCTTTAACAGAAAGGCAAAATTGAGTTTATCCTTCTTTCGGTTTCCTAGCAGCCATCCTGGATACGTTGCCTTCGCAGGTACAAAAAAACTAAACTTTCTCACATTTGCACCTTAATATCTGGATAAAAAGTAGAAAAGACTTATTAATACAATTCAATGTGCTTGGGCTAAATTATTTTAGAAAGTGAAATATATGTTCAGTTTCACCCCCCCCCCCCCCCCCCCCCCCCCCCCCCACCGCTCCCCCTCCTCCATAATGAAGAGCTGAATCAGCGAATAGAGTGAACACCCAAGAAGAGATGGCTGCTGCTGATGTCTCTCTCTAGGTCATTACCTTTCTTCCAACCACAAATGCTGCATGGTAAGCTGCAGGTAATATAGCTAAAAGTCCTAAATTATTCCACATGTTCAAAGGATTTTCATTGCATGTATCATTGACTAGATTGTATTTTTGTTACAGTACAGTAATTTCTAGTGCAAGTAATATCTATAACCAGTGTGCTTAAGTATCAAGCATTTCTACAGCAAATAGAAGATTTGGATAAATCCTCTTTAACTGAAATAACATAGCTAATTACTTGTTTGACAAGCAATATTGTTTTATTTGCATTTTTCACACTGCATCCATTGATGTTTAAGCATTTCTAAAAGTATTAAGGAATGCACTGCCTTGCTCTTCCTTTTGGATCACATCTAGCTAACATTTTGCAGAAATCCCATTAACAGATTGAAATGCATTGTGTAACTATAATGTACTTTTATAAAGAGAAATTACCAAAAGGTATTTTATTTTGCTTGTAATCTAGTTTGTCTGAAACAAGCAACTTGTAATTCGTATGCTGCATTGCTGTTTCTCCTTGTAGTACTGTACTTAGCTACTTGCTAGGCTCTGATTTGCTCTCCACCAGCTGCACTACCTTTTTGTCATGGGCTGCAGAAATAGGACATTTATGGTTTTCGTCTTCTCACAGGACCCTTGTTACACTTGAGGTTTTTTTTCTTAACTGATAATCAAGTGTAAACCTATTTCCTTGTTTGGATTATCAATTGATTTTGCAAACACAAGTAGGAATCTTGGCAAACTATAATCTACATCGTTCAATTTTTGAAACAAAATTAATCCGACAAAATTGAATTGTCTCTTCCAAACTCATATTATGCTTTTGTTGCCCTGCTAATGGATTCAGCAGCCAGAGAGAGAAGTGATAAGACTGTCAAAAAGCGTAATATATCTGAAATAGTGTGCAAGTCTACAAATAATACTGCTATGGAACAAATGAATTATTTCACAAAGTTAATTATTACAGAAGTGAGAATCAGTGTGTAAATTGTGAAAAGTGGGACATCTTAAAGGCCAAATCTTTGCATTATAAGGGTTTTTCTCCCTTTGAAGTGTGTCAGCATTTTAATCAACACATACCCAGTAACAAGATTTAAAAAGGCATAATGAAAACTACAGCAAAGTCCTGGAGCTGGGACAATTCACAAAGAATAGTATAATAAAGTATTGATGAAGACGAATGGAAACAGAAGCACAAGGTGGAGTATAATGTACAATTTTATGATAGCATTTGTATGGCTGGCTTTCCATGAATTCATACTGTTCTTTATATGTTAGTTAAGAAATAGTAACAAGCAACAAAATTGTGGCTAACTACTTGAAATCTTCATGAAAAAATAATGGTTTTAATATGTTTTAACTACTATGCAGATAAATGGCATTGTGGAATTCAGCTTTACCAACAACAGGACTTACTGTATACACTTGAGGGTATAAGCTGAGTTTTTCAG